TGTATATTGGTGTAACCCATTGGAAGATGTTGTTTCAATCGAATAAGACTGAGAGGTTACTATGGTAATAAGAAAATATACAGTAACTCTTTTGACCATCACCAGATAAATGGGCTCAACTACATGTCAAACAAGTTTCTAAATTTAGTAGTCTTTAAGGAATTTCTCAACTTTCGTGGAACAGCACATCGGTCAGAATGCACACCTTCATCCACAGTTTCCGCTTTTCTCTCCCGCGGAGTGAATGTGAAGGCGCTGTTCGTAAAAGCAATGGGCACCTGAAACAACCGAAAGGCATCACGTGAAGCTTGCCCTTTCGTCCTGTCATCCATCCACCCACCCACCGATTACAGATACGGCAAAATGCTAAGAAGGACCTCGAAATGGTGTTTGCATAGATCCACTATGTGTTTCCATTTAAGTGTGGTTATTCATGTGTGCCTGAATAGCACTTTGGAACCTGTATTCTACAGCGTTTCGTTCTTCTTTTAGGAATCAATTACATGTCTTTATTTCGTGTGATCGATTGTCTGTCGGATCTGATGAGCGCGGTACTGTTGATTATCAATTCAAAGCTGTGGACGACAAATTTGTCACCGTAAAACGAGATTTAGTGCACCCGAACGAGTGAACACCACGTTCGAATATATCAAGTTAACAATCGAACTGGAGAGCAACACTCGAATAGTATTTTTGGGGGTTTTAGTGAATAGAACGGTGGATGGGACTGTGGAAACCGGAAAGGGACAAATTACGGATCAAGTACTGAAATACAACAGCAATCACCCGGCGAAGCACGGGGAGACCTGCGTCCAGTCTCGGTTCTAGAGGGTGAAGACACACTGTTGCACCAGAGAACTGCGGAGGAAGGAAGATAAACATCTACTCGGTGTATTCCAGAGAGATCCATATCCAAGGAATTTCATCAAGAGAAGCAAAAAGAAGACGACATCCCAACAACACTGACAGCAAAAACAAACCACCAGACGGGTAGTTCTGCCTTACATCAAGAATATACTGGAACTCGCAACCAGATTGTTATCCCAAAAAGGAATCCTCATGGTCCATAAACCGAATGCCACTTTAAGGAAATTAATCTCAAAGACAACGAAGACAAAACCAAGAGTGACAATGTGATGTATCAAATTAACTGCAGCAAATTGTACTTTGGACAAACTGGGAGGAAATTATGCGCAGGAATATAGGAACACAACGCGGCTTCCAGAACTCACTTCCCCCTTCCTTGATATGCATACACGAAGACCAAAAGGTCACAAATTCTATCTGGAAATCGCAAGCGTTCTGGCATATAGAGACACGAGAAACGAAAGGGAATTTCTCGAATCATGGTACGTCACGACGGATTTGATCAGCCGGTTCATTGAGCTGAATCCAATTTAAGCACCACTCCATGCAGGTGACCAACGTCTCAACCGGAATACTCAAGGTGAACCGAATATTGGATTCACAAACCAAAGAAACAAGGAATTCCTTGGAGTCAGATCAATAAAGGTCACAAGCAGGAACTCGGAAAGACAAAGGGCACTCCAGCATTGACCAGAGTAAGAGGATAAGAGATGCCATGCTCAAAGGTCACATGATCATCGGCGAATCAGAACACAGGATAACACCAAACCGATGGAACAACTAATCGTGATCAAATGTCAGCCCAGGCTAGTAGCCCGTATAATAACACACACACAACACTACTCAACGCACAACCACCAATCCATCAGTATGTTCCTCTACGCTCCCTAAGAACGCATTGATGATGTTACCTCGATTGGTGATGGAGCGGAGCGTCTGCAATTGCCCAATTCAGTGAAGATATTCGCTGCCTGAGCTATTAACATTCCCCTCTACAGAAATTCACTGTTTTTGAGGGCTGGGCTGG